ACAGGAACATGAATCAAATGTGTACTTTATTCATTTACAATAAATTCATAATGTACATAATTCTGATTGAAGCTAAGGGCATACAACTGTCTAACATATAGAACTATCATGCTTATAGGTTAGCCATGTTTTCACATCGCTTGTCCAAAGGGTCATTAGCAAATGTTTGTCCCAACTATATAGGGTCTTGGGAGGGTTAGACTGGATACAAACCCAACCTTTGGATTTTTTTGCATAAAGTGGCTTCTCTAAGAGTAGAACTGACTTTTTGCTAGTTCTAGATTTTACCATTGCACCAAGCTTCCCTTGTTTACTTCTGTCTAAGCCAGCTATATATTCTTGAATTTATTGTACTTTTTTCTGGAGTAACGTTAGCAATAAAATAAATTAGTTAAAAGATGCCCAGGAAAAAGTAAAGAAGAGTAAGAGATCTGCCATATCTTTTGGTTAGAGGCTTTGTGGCAACTCCCAAACAACACAAATATTGTTACAGAAAGTTGGAAATGTATAAATTACATGAGTAAGAGGTCTGCCATATCTTTTGTTTATAGACTTACTTTTCCCATAGTCTGTTTTCTTGGAAAAAACAAGAAAATGAGATAGGGAGTAAAAGAGGTAGGGTGTGGAGAGAAAATAGGGCGGGAGGGTTTGGGTCTTTATGGCTTTTTTACAGAGGAAAAGTAAACAATTTCTTTTCTTTTTAATTTTGGGAGTTAAGTGGAAGAGCATTAGAGAGTTGGAGAATAGTCCTTAACATTTTAATGGGTCTTTTTTGTTTTGGGGGAGCCAAGGAGCCCCCAACATTATACTTGGCTCCACCCCTGAATATAATATTTTGTAATATATACTTATGTATATAATATAGACCAAGTAAATATATTATTATATAATAAAATATTATATATTGCAGGCTGGTCCTGAAGTGTGGCCCAGAAATTTGCAGGACTAATACGGGCATGGGCCCAGAATGATCAGGGTATCTCTTGAGTCAACCACATGGAAAAAGGAGAAATAAGTATAGAGAAAAAGAGAAGCCAATCAAGGATGAACCTGCTCTGACACCATGTAGAATACATACCTTAAATCTAGAATTCTTGAGAGAGAAAATAAGAGAGCAGAACAAGAGAAGACTACCAAGCTTAGAGAGGAAGAATCTAGATGTTGAATGGGAAAGAAGATGCACTCCCAATTAGCTAGTAGGGGATTTATATTAATCATCATGTAATGTTAGACAAGTTACATTAATGACCCTGTTTGGTAATAATACACAAAGAGACCAAATAACCCTTGTACCACACTAATTAAATAACAGAAATAAAACAATAATGAAAAGGACAAATATGGAACTGTATAAGACTTGAAATTTGAAAATCTAGTATATAATAGCCAGCCGATCATTCCTTTTAACATTTAGCATCCTGTCCCCCTTCCTCACTCCTTTTTATCAAAGTTTAACAAGAAAACTAATCCAAATATTCCTGAAACTGTGCCTTTTTTTTCTTTTTTCGTTTTCAACAGTCATTTCAATGGTTATCAATTGTTTATTTCATCTTTCCTTTTTTTCTCTTTTTCCATTGGGAAATCTCCTTCAGGTGTCCATTCGATTCTGATTTTGCACTATTTGGATATGTGATCCATTGGAAGTTTGCATATGAACTAAAATTGTCAGTTCATACTTGAATTTTGTAACAAGCTCCAATTCTGGTGCAGATATACAGAGCTATGCAAAGAGGGTCATGAATACAAGGATTTCTCCTCTGCTTTCCGACACTACTATCCTGGCAAGGATGAGTTGTAGTTTAACAGGTAAAGCAGCTACCAGACGATAGAGAATACAGCACCTCAGGCCCTTTACTCACCATACAGAATCTTTGGTCATGCTGCAGTCCTATGCTCCTTTAACTTCAAATCCAGTGCATTTGACCTTGAAGGGAAAATTCCTTAGAGTCCATACATTTTGTGACATGTCAATCATTGCCTTACATTTTAGAAACCTTTAACCAGTTTAACCTTATTTGTTTTTCGTAAAATCATCAAAGCTTAATAAAGTAAAACTCTCAAGACATCCTGTTTCTTTGTTGAGTTGCTTACTTTTTATTACCAATTAGATCGTTTGATTGTTCAACAAATGTAGAAAGGAAAACAACAGTCTTTGAATTTCAAAAGTAGGCAGTTTTGAAGGAGCTCATGTCCAATGGAGGAATACTATGCTCACCTACAATATAAATGGTCTTAGGGATGATACCTTGGATTGGTTTCGCAACCATCTGAATGTTGCTGGAGTTCTGCAGTGGGTGTAGAATTGAGGGATTGTCATTGCTTTTAAGTGAGCATTGGTTAGTTTAAACCAGACAAAAAGTATTAGGGTTAAACATACAAAGTTATATCCTCAGACTTGAAGCTTAGATTATGATAAACTTATAACTAAGAGTTAACTGGCTTTCAGTCCATCTACAACTGGTTAGAGTCTGAAATGAGTGAGGGTTATTGCCCAGGGATTCAGTCCATCCAAATGAGGAAGATAAGTAGGTTTCAAGTTGTAAAGAACAAGTTGAAGAGGGATGGAACACCAACAGCTACTTGACGATGAGCAGAATGAACATGAAGAGACAAGACTCAATGAGATAGACGAGTGTGAGTGTGTGTGTGTGTGTGTTGAGTGGAATGAAAACCCTGATGGAGCCTGGAGGTGAGAGCGTCTGTGGGGTGAGGTGGGCGGAGTACAGATGATTGTAAAGCAACTTTGAATTTTTCTTCCCTTGAAAATCTAACTAGCCCATAAAATTATGATAAATTAGGTCAGAAATTCTAAGGGATTTCGTCAATAGTGAAGAAATGAGGGGCTCCATCAAACTTGGAAGAATGAAAAGGGGTTTGTGACATTTGTCTTGGTTTTAATTTCAAATTCTGCCACTTTTGTTTCTAATTTTAATGAAAATAACATAAAAAAAAAAGCATCCAACTAGTTAAATGGCTTTTCTAAGTGACATGAATTCCGACATCTCGTAATATAGGTGGACTCTGAAAATCCCTTTGAGTCAAAGCGCTTTGGATCTCAAGTGGGTTTTGATGTTGCTCAGCAAGGTGAGATCTGGGAAAGCATTGAGATCACGGCCAAGGAGGTTATTGAGGTCACAAGTAAATATCATAGGCCCTGGGTTGGTGTCTGGTTTCCCGACAATGGAGGCTTTTAGGGGGTGTTCTTTTTTTGGATTTTGAGATGGGGGAAAGTTGATTAATGGGATTTTGGTTCCCATTGACCAAGAATCCCATGTTCTTTTTTCAGCTTTATGTGGGGACCAGGGAAAGTTTATTTTTCTGGGTAGGACTTACCCAGGAAAGTGATACCCATCTCCTAGATGGGTAAATAATACATGGGGGAAAGTTGCCAACACTTGAATGGGACAAAAATGCCCCTTTTAATAATGAATTTCTATGGCTAAAATGGTCATTGCCTTATTTAATTGGGAAATAAAAGAACATGGGTAAATGCACTTACCCGGGTAAGTAACTTACCAAAAAGTGAACGGGGCCTCACAGTTAAGTTGGTAGAGCTTGGAGTAAGGTAGTGCTAAAGAGCTCAACGAGTGAATAGAGAGAGGTGAGTAAAAGGCAAGGGAATAAGAATAAGAGAGCCTAGAGAGTAGTACCTTCAAAAAGCTCGCTTATTTATAGGGAGGGCTCAAGATCAAAGCCCAATGTTGGGTTGGGCTCAAGTTTTGGCCTGAATGTATTTTGTGGCTCAACCCAATCCATGAACATGTCTATGTGTGACTCGCCCCCCATGCTTATTGATGGAAAGAATCCATTAGAAAGCAATTATTCCATGCCCAATAAACCATGGATCTGCTGGGATGGGATCTAGTAGGCACAATATAGCAAGTACGTTCAATGAATACTTTATAAATATTTTGACAACTATCAAAAATGGGTTTTAATCTTTTTCAAGGGTAGATTGGAGGTATTTTAAAGGACAGGTGTCAAAAAATTTTCTAACTGCTCATTGAATGTGCTAACAACGTTGTGCCAACCTGATCTAGACTAGGGTTTGCTATCTGCTTTCTTTATTGGTACTAGTAAATTTGCACATGCTTTGCACGTGGCAATTTTAGATGATGAAGATGGTAATATACATCCAAATTATTTTAAGTTTTGTATATATTTCTATGTGTACAAAACTATTCTATATTAGAGATGTCCCAAATGTTTTCTACAAATATTTTGTATTTTTGTGTTCTTATCTTTGTTTAATTTTTATTATTTAATTATGATATCATGGTTTGACCCATTTAACCCAGATGGTTGACCTTACCCACCACCTAGAAAAAAGGACAATTTCATTTTTTTGTTCAATTTTGAAAAAAAAAATGAGATTTATATTATTAAAAGTATTGGATATAAATCTAATAACATAATTTATTGGTGAAAAAATATCTTAAATATTTCATTTAATGAGAGAGTTGGTGAAAAAATATCTTAAATATATCATTTAATGAGAGAGAATGGACGTTAGTACCTCAAATATATGACTTAATGAGAGGGATTTGGATGAGGTGAAAAATAATAGTTCAAATTACATTTTTTATATTTTCATGTGTATAAAAATAGTTCTTATTTATGACACTTGTTTTTGTTTAATATGGTGAATATACAATATTAGAGATGCGCCTAAATTATTTTTTTCAAAAATTTATGTTTTTTTTTTCATTTTTTGAGTTTTTATCATGTTTTTTATTTTTATTATTTAAGTATTAACATCAAATATTGACACATTTGACCTAGACCAAATAGGAAATCAATTTTATTTTTTGTTGGTTTTAAAATTTGTATTTCATTTGCATTATCAATAAAAACAATTTTTGTTTATGACATTTTTTCTTTAATATGATTAATATAAAATATTAGAGAAATGACCACATTTTTTATTTAACTATGACATCATAGATTCACCCAATTGTCCCAGATGGTTGAATTGGTTTACCCACCACTTGGATGGAAGAATGGTTTCTTTTTTTTTTCTTTTGGTTAATTTGAGAAAAAGGTAAATTATTGAAACCTCCCCTGAAGTTTGGTAATTGCAATCGTCTCCCTTGAATTTTATAATATAGACGCAAGTAGACCCCCCCCCTCTCTCTTAGAATCCTCTAGCAAGAGACACAAATGTCCAAAATACCCATGTAGTTATTATTGAGGCTAGTTTTTGCATAACAAACAATATAAACTTTAAACAACAAAAAAAGTTTAAAATTGCAACTTTACCTTTGAGAGATTCATACAAAAGGAAAATATATAAAATAAATCAATTCCAAAAAAGATTGGAAGGGTTTGGAGTAGTGATTGATATGAAGGGAAAACATGGAAAATAAACATTTTAGTTAAATTTACTACATGGTTATTTTGGATACTTTCATGCCTCTTGTTAGAGGATTATAAGAGAGATTCTACTTGCAACTATGTTAAAGTTCAAAAGAGGTGATTGTAATTATCAAACTTCAGAGGAGGTTTTCAACAATTGTTAGAAACTTCGGGGGACGTTTTAGCATTTTAGCCTTTAAAAACATGGGTTTTATATTGTTAAAAATTATTTTTTGTATTTGATAAAAATCTAATTATTAGAATTATCAAATAAAAATAACTTAAATACAAGATTTAATGTGAGTTAATACCTTAAATGTAAGACATAATGAGAGGGAATTAAATAAGGTGAAAATTATAAATGATATTATATTATTAGCCCTTAGAATTAAAGAAGGACTAAATTCAAAAATAGGGGTAGTTTAGTAAAGTTCTACACCCTCATTGGCACTTTTAATAGTATAAATAAATATACTATATGTACGTCTGTATGTATGTATAAAATAAAAGTAAATATACATAAAAAATTTTGACTTTACGTAGAAATTTTAAACTACAATAAAAATTATTATTATTAAATTTTAAACTACAATAAATATTTTTTTAATTTTTTATTTAATATGATGAATATATAACATTAGAAATGTTCGCAAATGTTTTAGACAAAATTCTATACTTTTTCATTTCTTGTGTTTTATCCTTTTTTTAATTATTTACTATTCAATTATGACATCGTGAGTTTATTTGAAAAGTTGGATAATTGACTCACCATCTAGACAGGAAAATAGCTTTGTTGTTAGATCAATTTTAAATTATATATTTCATCTCCATTATATAAATATTTTTTACTTATTACACTTAATCTTTGTTTGATATAATTAATATATTAGAGATGTGTACAAATTTTTTATAACTTTTATATTCTTTTGATTATTTGTACTTTTTTACTTTTTAAAGATTTATTATTTAACTATGACATCATCGGTTAATCCATTTGACCCACGACCCAAAAAGGAAAATAGTTTGGCCTTTAGGTTGACCTTAAATTTTTTATTGCCTTTTCATCATTGATAAAATTAATTCTTATGTATAATACTTATTTTTTATCAATATAGTAAATGTGTGTTATTATATATGTACCCAATATTTTATTTTTTATAAATATATAATATTAGATATGTGCCCAAATTTCTCTCCAATTTTTTTTTATTATTTTTGTGTTTCTTTTTATTATTTATTTTTAAAAAATTTATTATTTGACTATGATGTCATTTCATTTTTAGGTTGATTTTAGATTTGACATTTCATTTTCATCATTAATAAAAACACTACTTATATTTTATACTTATTTTGTTTAGTATGATGAATATACAATATTGGAGATATGCCCAATTATTTTTATTTTTTCTATATTTTATATTTTATTTATTTATTATTTTATTATTAAGTTATGGCATTGTAGATTAACTCATTTAACCCCAAATGGTTGAATTGCTTACCCACTACCGAGAGGGAAGAAAATGGTTTTGTTTTCAAATTACTTTTCAAAATATTTATTTTTATATTATTAAAATTAATAGTATGGATTTAAATAGTAGATTTTAATGATGAGAAAAATATATCTCAAATACAAGATTTAATAAGAGAATATAATATTTAATGAGAGAGAATACGAAAATAGTTTTATTTTCAATTGGTTTTAAATTTCAT